TGAACAGGTTCAGGTCCCTTAGCCTTTCCTTGTAGGGCCTGCCCTGCTGGCCCCGATCATGTGAGCGGCCTTCCTCTGGATCCTCTCCATCGCTCTTGAAGTGCGGCGCCCAGAACTGGACGCAGTACTCCAGCTGCGGCCTGACCAATGTCACATAGAGGGGGAGGATCACCTCCTTGGACCTGCTTGAGATGCATCTGTGGATGCATGACAAGGTACGGTAGGCCTTCCTAACTGCGTCCCCACACTGTCGGCCCATGTTCATTTTGGCATCAATAATGACTCCAAGATCCTTTTCTGCCTCTGCGCTGACAAGAAGGGAGTTCCCCAGCCTGTAGGTATGGTCCTGGTTCTTCCTCCCCAGGTGCAGCACCTTGCACTTGTCAGTGTTGAAACCCATCCTGTTCTCATCCGCCCACCCCTGTAACCTGTCTAGGTCTGATTGTAGCCTATTCCTTCCTTCTAGCATACCCACTTCCCCCCACATCTTAATGTCGCCTGCAAATTTGAACAGGATGATTTTACCCCCTTGTCCAAGTCGCTGATGAAGATGTTGAACAGTGCGGGCCCGAGGACTGAGCCCTGGGGGAGTCCACTGCCCACATCCCTCCAGGTCGAAAAAGACCCATCCAACACCACTCTGGGTGCGGCCCTCCAGCCAGTTAGTGACCCATTTGACTGTGTAGGTGTCAACGCCACAGTCCCCTAGTTTTTAATGAGAATGGGGTGAGAGACAGTGTTGAAGGCCTTCCTAAAGTCCAGGATGAGGGATGAAGCTCATCAAGCTCTGTTTACTTTATTTAATTCATCCAGACCCATCCAAACCTCTCTGACAGTCTCTCTTGTTTTTCATCCCTCAGCCTATCCCCTTCCTTATTCAAATAATCTTTATTAGGCATCTGGCAAGAGCTTAATTTTTTCATGACGACTGAAATGAAGAGCTACTGATTAGCACTGCCTTCTTTGCATCTTGTTAGGAGTTCCCTCTGTGTTGTTAAAACAGCTGACCCACAGCTTCTTTAACCCTCCTTTGCTGAAGGATTATAACACCTTTCTTATTATCTTTAACCTCTCTTGCCAGGTGCAGCTCATTCTTTATCTTTGCCTTCCTGATTTTGTCCACCTCTCCTACATACGCAACATTGACATTTCAGTCATACAAGGTGTCCCACCAAATCTCTGAGACGCAAATCCGGTAGAAGGTCTTTTCACAGGCTGCAGCTTTCCAGCTTATCTTGTTCATTCCCCATACTTCTTGCATTTGTACACATACATACATTGGAAAAAACATGTATTTCAACCTACTCACTTCCTTTTTACATCGCTTATTGCTGTCCTGTGGCTCTCTGGCCCTTTCCTGGAGTTGTGTTGCTTCTTCCAGTCCTTTTCTCTCTGCACTGTTTGCCCTGTTTTTGTTCAACATTCTCTACAGAATTTAGTTTAAATCCTTCCTTTTTACGCTGGCCAGATGACACCCAAAAATGCTCTTTTTCCAGGGTTGCCTACAGTCCAAAAAAAGTTGAGAATCACTGGCTTGTCCATTCACCTGGATTATAGGTCACTGAAGCAGCAGCACAATCTATATTAATAAAAAGGGGGGGTGCGTGTGCACACGCACCATAGCTCCAAGACCATGATACCTACAGGCCTGAAACTTTGCATGCATACTAAGGGGACCCTGGGGTTGTTTGCATGCATACTAAGGGGACCCTGGGTGCTATTTTTTTATTTGGCTCAAAAAAAATTTCGCCAATTTTTTGCTCTATACTGCATAACCCCATGACAGGCCAGCCCCAGGATGCAGAATAAATTTCCATGTGCAAAACATTCTTTAGCAAAACTCAAAGCTCCTGGCCAAGGTCAACCTGTACAGCTGGAGAAGGCTTCGCATTTAGGAATATTCCCCTAAGGGCTGTGGATGGGACTGGTTAACAGGATCTGGGAGCACCCGCAGGTGGAGTGAGGTCCAGAGAGAAAACCATACTGGACCTTCTCAGGGACTGATTAGGGGGTTGTGAGAGGCATTCCCTGTAAGGCAATCTACAAGAAGCAAACTTGCCAAAAACTGACTTGCAAAAGCTGCAGCCAGAGCAGCCGAGACTCCAGAACAGCAAGTTGCAAGACAAGAAACAAACAGAGCAGCAATGGCTGCATCCAGAGCAACTGAGACTCCTGCACAGCAGGTTGCAAGCAGAGCAGCAATGGCTGCAGCCAGGAACTGGCCCTGAAGAGAAAAAGAAAACCCTAAATTCTTCTACAATCCAGCCTTGAATTACAGTTCTGATTCATTAGTTGCAATTGGCTCAATGGTGATTTCTTGCAGCCACTGCCTTGCAATGAGATGGAAAGGAGAAGCTCCAGGGATATGCTGCAACAGTGGCAAGGTTCAACTGCCCCAAAGAAATGATCCTCCTGTCACATCCTCAACAACTATGGGACAACCACAAGGAGAATCTGGCACAGGATATCTTGTATTGGGCACAAGTGCAAAATCCAAACCTTGAACTGGACTACAGTGATGCCATCTTCAATCAAGCTCTCATTATCATTGAGGTCAAGATCAAGGCTTTGGGTGCCTCTGACCTCAAAACTTGTGGCCTTCCTGACTCACAACGAGACAACAATAATGAGCTGATAAATGAAAAGTTGAGAGAAACTAACTACAACATTGACCAGCTTACTAAATACATACAGGATAATAAGCCAAGTCTGGTCCCAGACCAAAGAAAAGCCTTTGACAAGATTACTCAAGCAGTTTTTAATGGGAGTCATGGCATCTTCTTTCTGGATGCTCCAGGTGGAACTGGGAAAACTTTTCTCCTCAATTTTCTTTTGGCCAAAATCTGGCAGACAAACAGGACTGCCCTGGCAGTGGCATCATCAGGCATTGCTGCCACACTGCTGACAGGAGGAAGAACAGTTCACTCAGCCTTCAATCTGGCAAGTGCAGAGGCACCAACCTGCAACATTGCCAGGGGTACTGGCAAAGCAAATGTCCTGCAGGAGTACCAGCTCATTGTCTGGGATGAGTGCACAATGTCTCACAAGGCTGCCTTAGAGGCTCTTGATCACACCCTCCAAGATCTTCGACATAATGACAAAACAATGGGAGAAGTGACTCTGTTGTTGGCTGGGAATTTTCAGCAGACACTGCCAGTCATTTCACGTGGAACCAAAGCTGATGAACTGCAGGCCTGCCTCAAAGCTTCATACATTTGGAAAAACATTCAGTGACTCAGCCTTATGACCAACATGCGAGTGCATCTAACACAGGGTTGGACAATTATTTTGGGTGGAGGGCCGCTTACTGAGTTTTGGCAAGCCATTGAGGGCTGCATGACAGGCAGCTAGGGGCAGATTAATATTAATTTTCTAAATTTTTTAGGGGTGGTGCAGGCCAGATAGAATGGCCTGGCCGGCCGCATCCGGCCCGCGGGCCTCATTTTGCCCACCTCTGATCTAACAGCTGATGCATCTGCTGGAGACTTTGCTGCAAGCCTGCTCAAACTGGGAAATGGGGCCATGGTATCTGAGAATCAAGATGCAACTATCTCAATGAACAACATTGGGAAAACAGTCGCAACACTTCAAGAACTGAAAGAGGCAATTTTTCCAAATGTCGCACATCACTTTCATGACCACAAGTGGCTATGCCAAAGAGCCATCCTGGCACAAAAAAAAATGATGCAGTCAATACCATAAACAAAGACCTTCTCTCTCAATTGCCTGGCACTGTGCAAAAATACAAGTCAGTGGACACTGTCCCAGACACCAATGAGGCAGTCAACTACCCAACAGAATTTCTCAACTCTCTCGAACCACCAGGTGGGCCTTCATACAATCTGGAGCTCGAGACTGGTGCACCCATCATTCTTCCCAGGAATCTGGACCCACCAGCACTCTGCAGTGGAGCACGACTGGCTGTCAACAAACTCATGCCACACGTCACTGAAGCCATCATCATGACTGGCCATGCAGTGGAACGGGATGTCTTCATTCCATGCATTCCAATCATTCCCTCTGACCTGCCAATTCAATGTAAATGGCTCCAGTTCCCAATCCGCCTCAGTTTTGCCATGAGCATAAACAAGGCACACGGAAAATCACTCAAAGTTGATGGCCTCAACCTGTGAAGCTCATGCTTTCCTCATGGCCAACTCTATGTTGGTTGTTCCAGAGTTGGCAATGGCAAAAACCTTTTCATCTTGGCACCATATGGCAAAACATGCAACACTGTCTATCCTGAAGCTCTATACCAGGCTTGTCCAAAATACGGCCTGCGGGCTGTCATGCGCCCCGCCAAGCTGTTTTCTGAAGCCCATGGTGCTGTGATGGGAAATGAAAGTAAACACTGTTTACTTTCATTCCCACCCCTTGTCCCTCCCCCAGCCCCTCAGCAGTTTCCTAATGGCTGCTGAAGGGCTGGGGAAGGGACAAGGTTCCCACATGCACTGCATCAGCTTGACGTTGCCGACGCAGTGCGTGTGGGAAGAGGAGTACTCATGTACTGCTCAGGACAGGATGAGCCCAGCTGGAGCAGCAGGGCCTCAGCCCCACTTTTCCCCTACATGCACCAGTCAGTTCTGAGTGGCACACGGCTCCACCGCCACGGGTGGGCCTGTCCCATCCAGAGCAGCACACAGCTGAAGCCAGCTTCCCATGTGCTGCTGGGGACAGGAGGAACCTGGCTAGGTCTGTGCCGGCCAGCAGAAGATGCAGCAGAGCCATGTGCCACTTGGGACTGACTGGTGCAGGCAGGGGAAAAATGCAGCTCAGCCCCTGCTGCTCCGGCCAAGCTTGTCCCGTCCTGTCCCGAGCAGCACATGGCTCTGCCGTCGCTTCTGCTGGCCGGTGCCGACCTGGCTGGATTCCTCCCATCCCCAGCAGAACATGAGAAGCCAGCTTCAGCTGCATGCTGCTCCAGATGGGACAGACCCGCCTGGGTCAGCACCAGCCAGCAGAAGTGGCAGCGGAGCCATGTGCCGCTCGAGACTGACCAGGGCAGGTAGGGGGAAAGTGCAGCTGAGCCCCTGCTGCTCCAGCTGGACTCATCCTGAGGTTCATTTAATGTTTGTAAAATGCTTGGAGAGCCCCACACAGATGCACTGCATAGAAATGCAAAATATATTTTGATTTATTTGGTTGGCACCTTGGGCTGATATTTTCAAAACTGAGTCAAAAGGCTAACTTCCATTAAAATGAATGGGATTTAGAGGGCTCCAAATCTTTTGTGACAACTTTGTAACATGCCTATCTACCCCTTTTTGCAAATCTCAGCCATAGTTTGGAAGCTGAGCCAAAGAACATAAGAGCTTCTGAACATAAGAGCATAAAAACTGCCATGCTTGGTCAGCTCCAGGGTCCATCTAGCTCAGTATCCTGTCAGGAACAGCGGTAGAGGTGGATGCTCTAGCGGAAGAGTTTTGAACTGGTTAGACCCATTTCACTGTCACTTCCTGCAACTTCATTGCTGTTGAAGGTCACGTGACATCACTTCCTGATGTGATACCACTTCCTGCGAAGTCTTTGAATAAGGCTTGGCAGCCCACTCGGCGATAAAAAGTTCATGATCTGGCCCCACATTCAAAAAGGTTGGACACCCCTGCTCTACATGGATAAAAAAAGTGTCAAGCACCATCATAAACTGGGATAGAAAAATGTGATGTGAAATCCTCAGTGCTATGCTAAAGTCTTACAAAGTAAATAGATAATTCTACCTTACAATTCAGTTGTTTAATACATTTAAATGTTCAACTTGTATAGGTTTTTGGTATGACCAAAAGCTCAGTGTCAAGCTGTATCACACAAGTCAAATAGGGTACAAAACTAAACACATATACACAGAATGAAAAGATTTTATTTACAGAACATTAAAACTTGATTACTGCAACCTGTGTGAAGCCAGGTACTTTGGCTAGTTTTAAATAAAGGGTGCAACAAAAGCTACAGCACCTCAGAGGGCCTGTGCAGAAATCTTCTATGACACTATACAGGGATTGGCGGGAGAGAGAGAGCGAGAGAGAGAAGGCAGGCAGAGGCCAGGCCGGGTTAGTAGTGCCGTGCAGCACTGCACCTCTGCAGACGGGCGGTGGTGCTGGGGGGGAGTCTTGGGGGGCTATAGCCCCCCCCAAATTCACCTTAGCCCCTCATAGCCACCTTTCCGAGCACCGCCACCTGCCTGCAAAGGCCTGAGCCAGCTCAGCCCCATGGACACAGCCACGCAGCAGCTCCCTGCTGGTCAGTGCAACAGGGCCCGCGGGGAGCAAGGAGCCACCAACGGTTCATGGGCAGGAGGGGGCGTCCTGTCGGGGGAAAGTGTGTGGCTGGGTGTGTGTCTGCATCTGCTTGTGTCTGCACACATCTGTGCATGTATGCATGTGCATGCATGTCTGCTTGTGTCTGTATACATCTGTGTGTGTATTT